GAAGAGGAAGCTGGACGTTGCTATGTGATGTCATTACCTGGTGCCCACAGTGACCGTTTCCAGGCTGGGCTGGGCTGTGGGCTGCATCTTGCACCATGGGCTCTCCACAGCATTGGCTGCAACTTGGTGGGCTGTTGCTCAGGGTGGTGGCGGGGCCTGTGTCCCACTTGGGGAGAGCCGTGTTGATCTGTTGGCACCAGGTCCATGGTGCTTTGCAAATGGCCAGTGCGCATCAGGGCAGCTCCTGCATTGAGCAACTGTCCCCTCATGGTCAGTGCGCATCATAGTAACCCTCTGACAATCAGAGGGACACTTAGCATATTGGTTTTTTTATGTATATAGATCGGTGATCAAGCAGTAGCAGTACACATAGTTTTTCTGGTCTAAAATTCTTCCTCCTACTCCACAGGCAGTGGATACGGTAAGATAGCATATGGAAAAGCACATAACATGAACTTAATGTTCATTTACTTCTCCAAACTTTTAATGAATGAAAATATTTTAATTTTTTTAGAGAAGGGAGATGGAAAGACAGTAACATTGATGAGAAGCATATGGGGACCCAGCCCAAAGCCTGAGAATGTGCCTAGGCAGGGAATCAAACTGGTAACCTGTCAGGTGCATGACACAACCACTGAGCCACCAAGCTCATTTTAATGAATGACACTATTTCTTAACCACAGTGCTTTTAAAAAGATGAATTGCCTTAAAGAGTAGTTGATAAGCTTCAATTGGAATTTCAGGTTACTATGGTATTTGGAAAGTTTCTGTTTTTTAAGGTCTAAGTTCACAGCAGCATTATTTATAATAACAAAAACTTGGAAACAACCTAAATATGCACTAACAGTGCAAGATTATATATATATATATATATTACAGCCCCATTAAAATGAAGGTCTGTATTTCCTGACAAAGATATGTTTAAAAAGAAAGTAGTGGCAGGTGAATATAATCTTGCTTCTGTTAAAACTGAACAAGAGATATATACCCAATAACTGTCTGCAGAGTGGATTGAGGAAACTTTAATTTCCTATACTCATTAAAAATAATTACAGTGCCCTGGTTAGTGTGACTCAGATGGTTGCACCCATGAGTTGCCAGTTCTATCCCCAGTAGTGGGCATGCAGGAGGCAGCCAATGGATGCTTCCCTGTCACAGTGATGTTGCTCTCTCCCCCTTCCTCTCTAAAAATCAATAAAAATATAAGTACAGATGTGTTAACTAAAAAAAAATTGTTTTGTCCTGTTTAGGGCCATGGTAATGTCCTCCACAATAGCACTTAGGACAAGAAATAGTTATGGTGACCCTGGAAACAGAATGAGACATGTGAGTGGGAATGAGACTGCAACTCGAGTCCATTTGCTACTCACTACATTAGCAAGATACGTAGGTGAGGTAGTTAAAAGCTTTCTTAGATATGTGGATTATTTTTCCCCCTCGAGCAATTTATTATGGATAAAGGAAAATATTTTCTTGGGTTTGTTCTTCAACTACATTTGTATTTTTCCCTGGAGAACAAAGCAATGTAAAGGAATGAGTTTTTACTTTTCAATTTAGGAAGATTCTTGAATGGTCTTAGACAACTAAATCAACTATTTAGACAACATGAAGAGTGTAAGTGAGGACAGAGCATTAATTTTATGGACTTATAACTGCATCTAAAATAATTTCAAATTCTTGAGTCCAATGCTTTTAGCAGACATATCGATAGTTAAAACCACTGTGGCAGACCAAACCAAGACTTTATAAAACATAACTAATGGATCGTCTCACGATCACGGAGAACCCACAAGCTCGAAGACACCACCAGTCTCGGTCCACAGGGAGCTCGCAGCATGCGGTCCCGTCAGCATTAGCACGCGGTGAATTCCACAGCAAGGTGTCTAGTCTACGAAGAATCCTGAGGCGTCAGTGAGACTGGCACAGCGCACTGTCAGATCCGTACCAGGAGGACCGCACTGGCTGCTCGAGAAAGAAGTCCCCGAAGCAGCTCCAGATGACGGGACCTTCACTCCTCCAGGAGAGGTTCACGCTTCTCCTTTACGACCCAGCTCCGAGTTATGATAACTCAAATCATGAGAAAAGCACGCTATGACAGGTCTCTAGGGAACATGAGAAAGCCACATTCCTTGCATTTAAGAGCTTACAATCTAGTTATAGAGAAGTATTTCATAACAGCTTTGGCATTTGAATGCTTATTATGTGCCAGGCATTTTCCATGCGTTATCTCATTTAAACCAACAACATTGCAATGTAGGTATTATTAGCTCCATTCTACATTTGAGAAAACCAAGGCTCATAGAGGCTAAGTGATTTATTATAGGTTCCACAACTAGAACTCTGGAACTGAGGTTTGAATCCAAGCAGCCTATTCCCCTCTATTAAGTTCTGTTACAGAGATATAAGCAAAAGAAAAAGCACAAAAAATTAAATATAATTCAAATATGGGAGGGCTTAGGGAAAACTGTGAGGAGCAGGTAGTATAGACAGTGCAGACAGACAGAGGTGTATGGAAGAATGACCGGGTTTGTCGTGGAGGGAGTGATGGGAAAGAAGACAGAGAGCCGAAGCCAGACCGTGAAGGTTTCCATGCTGTGTTAACGAAGCTTGGGCCTCAGCCTGTAGAGGGGGAGTGACAGGAACTTGAGCCATATGCTTTCAGTTGTTAAGATTCTTTGGGTGGAAGTGATGTGGATGGACTGCAGTAGATGACTAGTTGAAGGAAGACTGGGTCGGGTGGCCATCGGATTCGAACAGCTGTCCAGGGCCTGCCTGGCAAAGGCGTTGTCCCATGCCGAGTGTCCTGCCGACACCTACTTGTGTGCATTGCCACAGCCAAGACGCTTCTCTGAGTCTCTGATCTGGAAAACAGAAGTGCCGAGCAAGCTCTTGCAAATTTCCTCCAGCTCTGAAATGTTCCAAGTCTCACGAAAAACTTTCTGAAATTTAATTTTGGGGGGTCTTAGTCTGTGGAACTGGGGCTGATTTGTAGACACCTGGAATGTGCTTGAAAATACCATCAGTGTTTTCTTCTGCTAGAAAAAGAGCCAAGATCCTAAACATTAACATGGCTTAGCACCACTTATAACTACTTCTACTTTGTTGCTGGGTAACTGTGACCCAAAAGCACTGCTTTATTTAAAAGAAACTCCCGTCTTGGTGTCTGTTCTGTAATCTTCTCACGGAGTGGCTGGCACAGAACTGGTAGGAGATGAGGTGACAGTAGGTGCTTTTGAATCCGTGTTACTGGTTTGAGAGCCAATCTGTTGCCTTTTTATACAGTATTACAGAGAGAAGGGAAAAGTGCCACCTAACGTACTCAGTGTAAACCCACCATTATAATTTCCAACCGATCTATTCACTGAGAGGCTTATAGAAGAGAACTCTCCAAACACTTCTCCTCCGTGTTACAGACCAGGGCAAGGTTTGGATGGCGCAGACGGGGTTAAAGTTCCCCCGTTTACCTGGGACTTTCTCGTTAAGGCACTGAAAGTCGGTGTCCCAGGAAACCCCCGTCTTGGGCACACTGGGTAGTTGAGCACCGTAAGCAAAGGCACTGAAGATCCAGAACTCAAGAAAGTCCAACTGCTACCTTGTCTTAATCTCCCAACTCCTCACCGAGGCCTAGAAAGGGGCCACGTAAAGAGGAGACAGCAGCAAAGGGTAAATGCAGTGTCTTACTTGATCATCAGTTATTAGACTAGGCTCAACCCGCTAGCGCGGGAAACCTAGATGGAGCACATGGACAAGTCTGGACACCACGGGTCTCTGTTCCTCCTTCAACCCAAATCTAAATCTTAGAAGCTAAGACCCTTTGCCTGCAGGAAAAGTAGAAAAGAATGAAGCAAAGATGAACTGGCTCACGTCTTTGTGCAAGGAAGAAAAGATGGCTGCCTCCGGAAGCCTGGGCTGTTCTCCTTCCTCCTTCAGGAAGCAGGAAACAGAAGAGTCACGTGTGTGCGGTCCTCTCTTCCGAGTGACTCTCCCTGTAAACACGGTGTAATATTCTGGAATAAACGGCATCTCTGCCCTGGTGGGGGAGTGGGAGGGGGTGGGATGAGGGAGGGGAGGCTTTTCCCCACACAATGCCAACAGCAAACCAAACCAAGAGGCATGGAGTGTCACTGTGATTATGTGAAATCTCTTTAAGAAGCCAATTTTGAAATTTTTAAAATCAAAGCTTATTTCACAGTAATTGAAGGCTTTTTAGTTTTAGTAATTTATTTTGATAACTTGCTCAATAACAAAAATACAAGTGAAGAAAATTATGTTCATTTTATACATTTTGTATTAACAATTTGTTTTGAAACTATTAATTGAAAAATGTTATAACCAATTACAAAACAATTCTTAATAAAGTTTGGGGTATTATACAGACCTTGATCACAAACTTCAAAATCTCTTGAGGTGATACAATAAATCCTGTGTAGGGAACCGAACCTACACAGGCCACTTTTTTCCTTCATATGTTTTTATCCTTCAAAAATCAGTCTGAAAGACAGTTTACTGCTTCGTATTGTGAATGCAGATTTAATTTTAAAAGACTGAAGTGGGTTGGTAAAACAGTCACTATAGTCAAGAGTAACAGTGGCTAGCAGCCTTTTAATGAAGATAAAAACCAATTCAATTGTTCTTCCCACGAAGCCCACGATGCAAAACAATAGCTAAGAGTGACCCAAAGCTCGTTCCCGACACTCTCAGGGCCTTCCTCTAAGTCAGCAGATCAGTGTCGCAGGACTGATCCTTTACTTGGAGATTAAACAGTGAGTTTACAGAACATCAAGTGGGGGATACCAAAACTTTAGGCAAAAGGGTAAGAAAGGAAAACAATCAATGAAGAGTTTTGGTCATCCAGAACACTAAAAAGAAGGGGGGAAAGAGCTATCCTTTAAGAAGAAAACAAACGGAACAGAAAATAAGTTTATAAGAAGCAGGAGAGTCAGAACGATTACATGCACACATTAACAACAAAGAACATGGATTACCTTTGGAAAGAATTGTACTGAAATGTTGCTTTTAATGAAAGGAAGATTTTCCACATTTACAGTTGTTTAGGCATATTTAATAGGAGCTTCCAAAAATTTCAAACTAATTAAGTCCTGTGCAAATAAAACCTATAACTAGTTTTCAGCAGATTTTACAGTGTGTTCTTAGGTATGAGACTACACACTCTAAAAACAATGTAACAGACAAAAGTTTGACAAATGATTGCACCACAAGTGTTTATATACAGTTCACAAGCCATGATTTCCCGCTATAAATCAATACTGTGCTATCTAGTACTTGTTATTGTGACCTTCTAAAAAGCAACTGCTGACAGCGGTCTCTTTTCACGTACAGGATGTACAGAACTTTATATGAACGAGTCCATTTCAATGCTTGGTCTGATCTCACACACTATCTGGTGGACAGTTTTAACCCTGGGCGCTGACTGGCTGTGGGGAGTTTCCCCTCCCAGGCCTCTATGCACTGGCCCTTTATGATGATGAAGAAATTAGTCAACTTAATGGCTTGGGTAACAGATACAAATAAAACCTCAAGTTTTGTCAACTTGCAATACCACTGTAAGTGAAAGAAGTAAACAGTGGGGAAATTCTTAGCAGCAGAGAAACTTTCTCTCCCCATGCTCACGATCCAGTTAAAAGTATTTTGAGGAACTATTTACAATATAACTCATCTTTTTGGAAGAGAGAAACCCTCAGTCATATAAATTAATCTGAACCGCACTTTGCTAACACTTTCTCTCAGTGGTATAATGGTGACAACACAAGCTTTCCTTCTGAGTGACCATGTGACTGAGGACATGGGTGGCCATCTCCAACGGCCACAGACATGCCCAGTGTCCGGGTCCTGGCCGACATCACAACACTTGGGGGAAGTCCCTTTCAAGCATCTTCTAAGGTTTCTTTGGTCCCAGGAGGAAAGTGTAGCTCCCCGTGACTCCGGGATGTGCCTCAGGGTGGCTCACCTCTTACCCCCTCGAGCGAGCTGCAACCCCGGGCTTCCTTCCACAGCTAACACTGATGGCCCAGGGGGGTGGGAACAGGGAGCCAGCCAGCTCGCAGTGACGGATCCGTGACCACGTCAGCGGGCAGCGTGTGTGTTAACGGGAAGTGGGATGCACGGGCTCCCTGGCCAGGGACCTCCACTTCCCTCCAAAGACGACAAAGCTGAGCTCCACTGCCACGAAAGACCCCCGCCCCACATTCCCAACAGGAGATACTGTGTGTTCACCGGAGACAACTGTGCACTGCACAGCATGAGACGTGGAGAAGAGAAACGTGTATTTGGAAAGGACGTGTGGGTTCAGGGCTGTGGAAATGCTTTTTAGGAAAAAGTAAAGCTGTGGGTCAGACAGCCCTTTACAGTAAATACAAGGAAGCAAACAAAGGCATGGAGCACACAAAAGACACTGCTCTCAGGTTTTTGGTAAAGGAGATGCATGAATAAGAATGCTTATGGATGAAAAGAACACATTTAATTGCTACAGCAGAATGATCCTGGTGCGGTAAACAGCCAGAACGGTGTGAACTGACATCAGAAGAAAAAGAACCTCTGCACAACAGACAACAGTTGCCAATAATTTAAATGGTGTCCAATTCCCCAGACTACGAGGTTTGACATGATCTTACCTTCTACCATCACATATAAATAACTTAACCTACAGAGAATTGTAGTGTAACTTAAATTTGCACCTAGAAAGATGTGGGTTATCTGTACCTATTACAAACACCTGTTAAAATCAAGGGCCGATACAAAGAATGAGGTAAACTGAAGACTCTCTCCACTACACAGCCTTCAGATAAATGGCTTTTTCTATTGAGTTCTAGGTTTGCACACCACAGTGTTTTGCTAGCAAAGCATTCAGAGTTCTCTTCCAGGAACAGTTTGCATGTGTGTGTATAAATTTACACACACACACACACACACACACACACACACACACACACACACACACACATATATATATACACTGTATACTGCATCAGCAAAATATATATATTATATATATTTATATAAATATAAGGAACATTTCCCCCACCCACCCCAGTAACATGTTTCTTAGTGTTTTATTTTTTTGTACACAGAGATAGGGAATTTCAGGATTTTACATACATTTTAGCAAACAGGTTTGATCTATTGGCTTCTCGGTGCAGTAACGCAATGGCAGTCCCTCTGGTGCCACCGGCTCCTACGCTACAGGAAGCTGTGAACACTATTCTCAGGAGGTGAGGCCAGCCCCACAGGAACTTCTCTTGCATCCCTCTGGTCCACCATGTTTCATAAATACTTAGAATTGTTTCCTCAAGTGAATCATTAGATGTTAAAAACGGAACACAGAGTCACGAAGGGCCACGTGCTTTTCAGCAGAAAGCATTCTCCCTCGCTAGGCGACTACCACAGTGCAGGCCCGGCGGCCTGGAAATATGCTCAGGGGGTTAGTCAGTATCGTCTGTATTTGGTTATGGAAAAGGCCCTCTTTTTAAAAAAATCCAAAGTGCATAGTGAGAACAAATCAAAGCTTTTTTTCTTTTTCTTTTCAGCATCAGTTTCATCTCAGCATCTTTCTGAGCCAGGACTACTCGGATGCCTTGCCTTTGTCCTCTCCACCCTCCAAAAATAAAAAAATTTAAATAAAATAAAAAATAATTAAAATGTCAAGCAATTTAGACATTCATCAGCCTGGTAAACAAACTTTGCCAGCAAACAGAAGTCCTACTATTGTAAAGAAAATTGATAAGACAAAAAGTACATATGATGACCCAACTACTGTGTTGTTGGGTAATTTATAAGGTTGACCTCCGACTTCATTGATGTAAAATCCTATTGGAAATATTAGGGCAGCCATACAGAAAAGGATCACTGTAAAACAAACCAAAACACAACATTAGTAACATGGTTTGGTGATTAGGAAAACAATGAAAATTTGGCGCAAAGGAAGTTTATAAGAAGGATTGTGGATTGATAACATGATCAAACCTGTCAAAACATAAACCATTTGTCAAAATATTTGCATATACTACAGATCATATAATATCCCCCAAATCTAACAATTAAAATCAGGAAAAGTGTGGATTAACCTTTTGAGACAATTTCAAATATCAGCGTTAAGAAAGGTCCCAAACCTTCCAAGTACTCGTATGCCTTACTCCTGACCATTCCAATGGCGATGCAAGGCCGCCTCCTGGCTGTGCTACTCATAGCTGTGTCCTCTAGGCTTCTGGTTCCTCTGAGAGTGAAGTAAGTGCTAGAAGTCTGAATAAGCATTATCAAGTCCAGGCACAGCACCAGCCACATGGGCAGGAAGTGCTGAGTAACTGCTGCATGTGCCACTGGAGTTCTTATTCTGCCACTTCTCTGCTCCTCTCAGTTGGTACTAGTTAGAAGGAATTAGAGAAAAAGCACTTGAATGTACCATCTACCTTACTCTGGTTTAAGTCAGCTAGTGGAAAGAATCAGACTTCTGCAATGATTAGCAAATTGTCAGAGTGGCTATATCTTATCATGGACATAGCCTCAGCCCAACCACCCACCCTGTTAGGTTTCTGAATATACACAAGTGGGGAGGATGGGAAACCTTTGAGTTCTGTATACAAACACAATGAAATCTAATATTTGCTAAAAATGTTTCTAGAAAAGTATCAGCAAACCCAGTGTCTGATTCCAAGGCCACTGTTTTAGCAAACAGTGCGCTCCCTGTGCTTCAAAAGAAATGCTCTGAGCAAATGCAGACTGCCTACAGATTGGCTAATTTTCCCAAGAAAACAGTTTATGCTTTATGAAAGCACACTGGTAAAATGGGAAGTCTTCCCAATTCTGGAGGCGGAAACATTTCTCAGTGTAATGTGGAAACTGATTACTATACTCACTATATATGAAGAGGTGAACCTTTCCACTAGAACCTGAGTGAGAAACCTTTTCCGAGGTAGACCCATCCCGAGGGATAGTGACAGAGTCCTGAATAAACATATCAGCTGACACTTGTCTTAAATTACTTTTGTGCCAACCAATAAAATCTAATAGAGTCCTTTAAAAGCCAATAGGAGTGCCCTTGCTAGCTTAGCTCAGTGGATAGAGCGTCAACCTGTGGACTGAAGGGTACTGGGTTGACTCAGGTCACAGTCACATGCCCAGGTTGTGGGCTGAATCCCCAGTATGGAGCGTGCAGGAGGCAGCTGATCAATGATTTCTCTCATCATTGATGTTTCTGTCTCTCTCCCTCTCCCCTCTTCTCTGAAATCAATAAAAATATATATTAAAAAAATTAGACAAAACAAAACGAAAGGTTAAAATAGAAGTATTTTCCTGGAACAGCTCCAGAAATGTATTAAAAAGTAAAAAGTAACATTTTCTAAAATAACATACTAACTCAAGAGATACACCAGTACCTTTGTTTGCTTTGCACTCTTTAGGTGGATAATTTTATAATATACACACAATTAGTCTATCTCATTTTGGGCGAAGGACCAAGCCAAATGTCACATAAGCACATTTGGATTCTTTTGGATACCTACAACAGAACAAATAAAAAAAATCCAGTAATTAAGTGTTAGATCTTTTGGTCCTTCTGTTGTATAGACAGCAATAACTTCATCAGTGCTGCCAATGCCCACTTATCAGTATTATCTGTCACAAACTTCTAATAATTCTTATGCCTTAATATGGTTTGGTAAGTAAAATGAAATCACAATCTATAGGTAATCTATAAAAACAATGGGATATGATTAGTTTTAAAATCATTTTGTTTCTTCTCATCTCAAAAACTAAAATAATTTAGACATTTTCTGATATACACAGTTCATTCTGTTAACTAATGTACTGACTTTATTTCTATCCTTTCATATATTCTATTATAAAATAAAAATCTATCCATGCCGAAACTGGTTTGGCTCAGTGGACAGAGCGTCGGCCTGCGGACTGAAAGGTCCCGGTTTCGATTCCGGTCAAGGGCATGTACCTTGGTTGCAGGCACATTCCCAGTATGGGGCGTGCAAGCGGCAGCTGATCGATGACTCTCTCTCATCGATGTTTCTAACTCTCTACTCTGTATCTCTCTCTTCCTCTCTGTAAAAAAATCAATAATATATATATATTTTTAAAAATCTATCCATTATAACGAAGTAAACATTTAATGACTATACTTAAGAGTTTAATATTTTACAAGACTTAATTCTTTTTCCAAATTGGTTAGGAAAAGCTTAATCAAATTTAAAGGAAGCAATGAACTCTTATTCAATCTAATTTTGTTTTTTAATCCAAAATTTTAGGTTCTCTATACTTCTTGGGGATATTTAATGCAAGTAGATGATTTTTCTTTTAAACTATTGAGATCTGTGAAGTTACTTTAGATCTTAAAATATAATCAATCCTGATAATATATTTCAATTTTTAATTAAGTTCTGGGTCTTAAATAAGCCTATAGAGACATAACTTCATATCCGCCCTGGTGGTGAGAGTTAAATGGCAGGTGTGGTGGTAGATGAGGATGTAACTAGTTAAAGGGAAAGACCAGGGTCAGACCTGAAGACCTTTGTTACCTGCCCCCTCCCCACTGGCCAGCCCCACCATGTGTGGCTCTCCTCTGAGAGATTCCCCCCCGTGTAAACCAGAGGAAAATATTACCCTCACATTCTTACCAAAACTACAGCTAAACTGGAACAGAAATAGATGCAATAGAGATGATGACAGCAATAGAACATCTTCAAAGGCTGAATGGAAACATTAGGGGGAGCCCAATCCCTCTTAGGACTGCCAACCCCGTGGCTTAGCTGTGGTAACAAAGCCAATGTAATTAAGGAAGCTAGGAGTAATGCAACTGTGCTTACTGAGGTGACATTCACTCCAGTATGTACTCCTGAGCTAAAAGAAGCCCAGGGGCACAGACACAAACAGAAGGTACAGCTACAGAGCACCACGTGTGCACACGTTTATGCCTAGAACACCTCTGGCAGGAAACCCGGAAATCAGTGACAGTGTTACCTCCAGGAAAGAGGTCCTGGATATCTGGTGACAGGGACACAAATGAGACTTACTTTTCATTTAGACTTTGAATTATTATATGCATATTATTTAAAAACGTAAACAACATATTATAGTTCTTTTCCTTTATTGGGCACAGGAAACAATGGCTCAGGGACCATCTTAATGAATACTTTGATTCATGCTGCTTTGCTAAACTGCATGAGATTTTTTTCATTTTCATAGCTTATGCATTCCTAAATTTTAACTAAATCCCAAAACTATATGCTTCTTTGATTTTACATAAAGAGTGAATGCTCTCTGAACAAGTGAATATACCCTGTGAGTAAAGATTCCCTTAAAATTCCTCATCAATACCCTTTAGGGTAGCAACACTGTCTCTACAACTGTCTCTGGACCCTACTGTCTACAAAAGGACTGTCTTGGGAGGTCTGTTCTACCTCACAAAAAATCATCACCTTCTCTCTTATTTCTTAACAAGAATGGAGATTTTTTAATGTTAAAAGCAATTTGATCTGCCCGGCTGGTATGGGTCAGTGGTTAACCAGGAGGTTAAGATTAGGGTTAGGGTTTGATTGCCAATCAGGGCACATGCCTGGGTTGTGGGCTCGATCCTCAGGAGGGGGTACGCAGGAGGCAGCTGTTTAATGATTCTCATCATTAATGTTTCTATCTCTCTACCCCTTTCCCTTCTTCTCTGAAATCAATAAAAACATATTTTAAAAAAGCAATTTGATTTAAATTTTAAAATAAAGTAGATATAGAGACAATGATAATACAGAACTGGAAGCATATATTAAGAGTTTCACAGAGAGGGAGAGACAGGCTCGTGAACTAATATAATCCCCTTATCTTATTGTCTCATAAGGATACATTGAGTTTTAACAATAGGGATATGTGGGATTATGCCTCACCTCTAGCCTATGAGTTCTAAATGAGAATAACAAGTGAAAGCAAGCTGTTATAATATTCACTTAAAAAGCACGTATGCAGACCTGAGAAGGTTTCAGGCACTGTGCTAAAAGTTCAGGCTGTGGTGCGGCCCAAGTCCCGTCACACTGTGCCGGGAGCACAGCCTCTCAATGGGCCCCCAGCCCGCGGGGGCAGAGCAGTCCTCGCTGGGAGGCGTCCCTGTGTACACGCAGGAGCTCCCGCCACTCTGCCCCCACGCATTAGGTGTCAGTAGCACCCCCTTTACTGTGACAACCAAAATGTTCTAGATACGGATAAATGTCTCCTGCAGGCAAACTGCTTTAGTGAGAAAGAAGCATGAAAGTAAAATTTCAGAAACAGCTTTTTTTTTGCACATTTTTGTTTCCTTTAACTTGGGCTAAGCCTCTGACATTTTGATATTAAACCAGTTCTACAAAATACAAATGAATATGCAACATATAAATATCTCACACCTTTGGGCATTGACTAATAGAATAAGAAATGTTAAGAAATAATTATAAAATAATCAAATGTGTTGATTTTCCAATGGTCACATACGTAGCTGACAAAAAAACTAAAAATCAAGGGCATTAAAAAGCACATCAGCACCTTAAATCTAATTTATATCTGTTGTATTTTCATCTAGATTTATCTTTATTTGATAGAAGATACCAATACCTTCAAGAAGATGAAAAGACTCAGGTTAGTGGTAGCTCTGAGTCACAGACCTCAAACACTCAAGTACAATGTTGGCAAAAATAAAATTCATTAAAATAGCATTTCGTACAAAGCAATTAAGGGTTTGGATGTCCTGGTGTTGTGATGAGAATTCTGAAGAGCGATGGGACTGTGCAGTTATCTGACGGCCACAGTGCTGCTCTGATGAGTGTGGAGTCCTCATTACTGTTCTTGATTCTCTTCACACACACAGAGCGCATGCCTCTAGACAAACGACAGCACAGGCTACTTACTTCCAGTGAACGCTATCCACCGAGCATACTTTGTGGCTTCTCTCCGCCAGTGGGAAGCCACCAGCAACCCACACGTGACAGTCAGTGAAATGATCCCCATGATGATGAAAAACAGGGTGGTGACCCACTCCGGGGGCAGCCGAGGGGGGATGCAGGTCCGGTCTCGTCCGTGGATTGTCTGACACTGTCGCACCAGGCCCACAGTGAGCGCTCCTGGGGGAGATGCAAAAGGTGGGGCCGTGTTAGTGGGTTTGCATTCGGAGGGGATATTCCCTACCAACACCCCTCAGTCTTAACTCGTATTTCTCTCTATGGGGGTCATCCAAGCACTTAATTCCACTGAGTCCCTTCTTCAGCATTCTGCTAGAATGCATAAGTAATAGTAATGCTTGATTTAACATAAAAAGAGAACTTAAACCTCACACAAAGCCGTTAAAAGGCAGCTCACTGAATCCGTCATTCATTAAACACACACTTTCCTGAGCACGTGTGCACACGCTGTTTCTAGGCCCCAGGAGAGTAACAGTGAACAAGAGAGAGGAGCTTCCAGCTCTCGTTAGCGGGAACTTTGTTTTCCCAGATCCAAGACTCACTGTATATCATTTTATTTTGGCTGAGGAGAAAAAACACTTCTCAGAAAATTGAAGGCAAGCTTAAAATATGCTTAAGCATAACATACAAATAAAATAAATAATTAATTAAATACTAGAATCAATATAATTTATTAAAGTTAAAAGGTCTAAGCATATTAAAATATAAGTACTTTTTTATTATATTCAAGAAAATGTTGTAAAAACTAGTAAACTCCACCATTTGGGAAGTTCAACAATGTTGGTACAACGTATAAGCGCTCACAATTGGCAAACCGTTACCGGCATGTGTCAGCAGGAACGCACAGAGGTATAAGGTGCCCCATTCTCCTTATCCACTCAAATAACAATAAAGTGAATTTTGTAAAATATGAAGTACTATTTTAATATAAACATGTTCTCATGAAAACCAAAGGAAACCCTCTATCAAATTTGGGGTGAATTAATTTGTAGAAACCTAGGTAAGGAAGGTGAAAGAGTAATGACTTTTTCTTTTTCCCGTCAAAAACTGCTGGTTTCCCCTTTTAAGGGCAACTGCGAATGAGAAAATTGCCAGAAAAGTACAGGAAAAGGAATTTTTGGAGCCACTGGAAAAAAAAAAAGATTTCTACATCATTTTGGGGTTTAATTATTTTTCAAGGTGAACAACATAGCACTTGCCTTGAACAAGTGGCTTCTTTGAGGACAGCGTGAAACTCGGGGTACCTGGGAGCAGCAAACCAGGGTGGGTGTGAATGTGGATCTGTGTGTGCATGTGGATCTGTGTGTGCATGTGGATCTGTGTGTGCATGTGGATCTGCGTGTGCATGTGGATCTGTGTGTGCATGTGGATCTGCGTGTGCATGTAGATCTGTGGGTGTGTGTGGATCTGTGTGGGCTTGTGGGGCTGGTGGAAGGAGGGACTTTCCTGCAACTTGTATTTTGCCACTGATACATCTTTAGAAATAAAACAATATGTTCAAAGAAAATGAAGGAAAAAAACCACCAACCAATAGTTCTGCTCTCCAAACTGAGTTGTACTCTTTTCTTACTCTCTTTTTCAAGAGAATGAAAGAAGATAACTCAAACAAGTTGTACCTTTTTCTCTCAAATCACAGAATAATTAAGCCCATTTTGGGATGTCCAGAGGTGCAACAGCATTGTGGGATCCTCTCTGGAGGCGGCGAAGGGAGCTAACCCTCACAGTAAAGCCTCACTCCTCCTCCTAGCTGCTGCTTGGAGCTGAGTGACTTCATAGCCCAAAGAGAGGTAAACCAGCTTAAAGTGTTTGACAACTGCTAACCTTTAAAGTATCATAGCAACTGCTAGGAACCAGAAAAGGCAAGAGGGATGGGGGTAAGCACCAGGGAGTTGCAAATCGTTCTTAAATGGAAACACTAAAAAGTTTCCTTGAAAAGAAAACTTGGGGGAGAGGGAGTGTCTTATTATGATAAATCTTTTATTCTAATTTTGGAAACAAATAAGGCTTTCAGAGTGCTAGAACCCCTATAAGGAAACTACTCCTGATCATTCATCAAAACATCTCTAACAACTTAACCTCTGTAGTCACTACCCTATTTATAAAAGCTGTCACTGCGTAAGAACAGACAACAGGCAATGAAAGACCCTCTGACAAAATGCAATACTGTGGACTCTGATGACCCCCCCACATCCCCTGACTGGCGCACCACACCCCATGAGTGCAACAGAACAGTCAGAAAAAGAAAATTAGAGTGATGCCTTCCACAGACCAAATGGAACAATGACCCGGCAGACGGTCAGCTCTGAAAGAAGAGCTGTGCTCCTGTGGTGAGGGATCCTAATCAAGACAAATCAAGACCAATACTCAGCAGCTGCCTTCTTCTGAGAGGAAAGAAAGCTATCTGACACACAACCAGAAGGTACACTGTATGTAAGAAAATAAATTCACCAATATTTAAAAACTCTTTATTGTTCAGAGTAATACCCATCACCTGCACTGTCACATCCCACTAGTTCCTGCCCCAAGCCAGGCCCTCACCATCCTATTGGCTTTGTCCATAGGTAATGCATATTAAGTTCTCTGGTTAATCTCTTCCCTCCTCTCTCACTCTTTCCTTCTGAGCTTCAGTTCCATGTTTCCATGCCTCAAGTTCTATTTTATTAATCAGTTTATTATGTTCTTGTTCATTTATTTTGATTTTTGAAATATAGTGGCAACCACACTTTGGTAAAAACTGCTGTTTGAATTTTAACCCTTCTAGTTTGGCCCCTGCATCTGATTAAAACACAGGGTACTTGCCTCAGCTTCCAGGTGAAGACCTGGAGGCTAAGGCAATTTTCCCTTGCCTGGGACCAGGACCACAGGAGATTGATTCCCACTGACTCAGTAGCTTCAGGGATAGAAACTGTAGATAACCTTTAGAGTCTAACCGCTGAGCTCTGCTTCTGTGTTATCGCTATCACAAGATAGGGCCACATTCTAATGTCCAGCAGGATGTGACTAGGAACCAACTCTGCGGGCTGTCCCCAGTCTTTAGAATTTAGTCTTTAGGATTTAGGAACAAAAGGAAAATTCTTGCGGTTTAAACCTTTAAAAGGAATTGCCTACCTTTGAAACGGTGCAGTCATTTGGAGTCCACCTATGTGTGGTGCTCTTGTGGCTGTCCTGGCCAGTTCAATAAATCCTTGCCTGCTTTTTAAAAGTTAATTAATCAGCCTCTGGTGGTCTTATTTTTGAACCCAGGGTTCGACCCCACAACAATTTTTAGATTCAATTGTTGATAGATATGCATTTATTGGCATTTTATTATTCATATTTTTAATTTTTTTTTCTTCTTCTTAAAAAAGACCCTTTAACATTTCAGTAATACTCATGGTGGTGAACTCTTTTAGCTTTTCCTTGTTTGTGAAGCTCTTTATCTGACCTTCAATTCTAAATGGTAGCTTTGCTGGGTAGAGTAATCTTGGTTGTAGGTTCTTGCTATTAATCACTTTGAATATTTCTTGCCACTCCCTGTTGACCTGCAGTTTCTTTTGAGAAATCAGCTGATAGCTTATGGGCGCTCCCCTGTAAGTAACTAACTGCTTTTCTTTTGCTGCTTTTAAGATTCTCTCTTTCTCTTTAACCTTTTACATTTTAATTATGATGTGTCCTGTATGGGCCCCTTTGAGTTCATTTTGTTAGAGGTTCTCTGTGCTTCATGGACTTATAAATCTATTTCTTTCACTGGGTAGGGCAAGATTTCTGTCATTTCTTCAAATAGGTTTTCAATATCTTGCTCTCTCTCTTCTTCTGGCACCCCCATAATGGGAAAAATGGTATGCCTGATGTTGTCCTAGAGTAGTGGCGGGCAAACTCATTAGTCAACAGAGCCAAATATCAACAGTACAACGATTGAAATTTCTTTTGAGAGCCAAATTTTTTAATCTTAAACTATATAGGCAGGTACATTGTAATTAACTTAATTAGGGCACTCCTAAGCTGGCCTTTGCCAAAAACTCAAAGGGCCAAAGAGCCGCATGTGGCTTTCGAGCGGTGGTTTGCCGACCACTGCTCTAGGCCAACATAATCTATATCCTACTCACATATTTCCCATAAGCTGTCTGGGGAAAGGGATCTACCAAGGCAGCTGTGTTGCTACTATTGAATCTTCTAAATTCTGGTTCTGTTAGTGTCCCAACTTCCACCAGTTTAAATTTCATCTTCTACCTCAAAAAATTATCTCCTGCTTATAGATTCAAATCCATTTCTTACACTGACTAGTTAGTCAAGATCTTTTACATCCTCCAAATTCTCCAAGCACATTCCGTTTGTGTCACACAATTAAGCATTTGATTTACAGCAGCTTCTTTTTAGCCCAAACAGAAAATGAGCTTTTCAGGAAGAGAGGGAACCTTCCACTTCACTGGAAACCCCAAGGCAGGCCTACAGCAGTGGGCAAAGCAGGACTTCATAAGCATTTGGTGAACCTAGACAAGTAAGAAACGTGCTAAATTTAAAATCCTGCTTTATCAACCAGATTCTCCTGTAGAACTATGGTACTGTGAACCATATTAATTCAGCACAAGCTCAGTCAGTTCATTTTGGTTTTACCCAACAAATCTTTTGTTTCTTAAAGGGTCTATAATTCCATTTCCCAAACAACCAATCCGTCTTCACCCTGTGGCTGTTTCCTAGGTAACCAATCCAGCCAAATAAAAGACTTGCACACAACAGGAAGAGGAAACTATACCAGGAACTGTAGCATTCCATATGTGTCTCAGTATCTCACCTATGTATTACAATACACAAACGTCATAGTGAGTGTTACCCAATTATGTGGGGTATCTTAACTAAAAAGGCTTTTCACACTCATCTTCTGTAGTTTTAGGCACTGTGGAAACGATCTGGCATGGCAAGTCTAAGCATGTCTGTTGCCATAATAAGGATGATTGTAAGGCCTTTAGGTCACTACTACATCATAGAGCACAGTAGGATGAAATGGTTTTTCTTGGTTTTTTATTAAGTTTATTGAGGTGACATTGGCTAACAAAATTACACTGGTTTCAGGTGCAAAGTTTGAATGAGCAATCAATTTTTAATAGTACTAAGCATCCCTTTGAATTTGTTGAGATTTTTCAACATGCAGATCCAAGTTTTTCATCAAACTTGGGAGAGATTTG